ATACACACACACACACACACACACACACACACACAAACACCCAGACACACACACACTCACTCACTCACTCACACACATACACACACTCACACTCACACTCACACTCTTCGCTCTCCCTATCTCTCGATCGAATAATTCATTCAAGTAGCTAAATGTTATAATTAATTATTCAAATAAACGTGATCTTACCACACTATTTAATCTGTCTGATCTGAAGCGGGCAGAATGCAGAGTTAACGAGTCGCAGCTTCGCGTCAGTCTTCCCTTCACGTCGTGCATTAAAATAGTTTAAAGCCGTGTATTCGCTCTTTAGCAGCAGTTTTTACAGCAATATTTAAATGACACCCTGGTCATTCTTGGTGTACCCAAAATGGTCCCACACTATCGTCTTCAGGCACTTCTCTGGTGGAAATAAAGGATCGCCGTTTGGTTCCTCTGTCATAGTTAATCTAGTGTGTGTAGTAGCCTCCGTGTCTCTGATAAGCACAGCATTTTAAGATGGTGCACCGCTAGCGTAACTTTGTTTTCGTTTTGCCCACGTTGCAACTGTTCCGTTGTGTGCAACAGAAACACTCGGTGTAGCGGAGGCTTTACGATTAATTAACCGGGACATTTTAAAGCGCGGTTAATTGAGAAACCGGTTAATCGCTGCATCCCTAATCTCCACATTGATGTTCTCTTTTTCCGCAATATTTTTGAATGAACAATGCAGCAGCGCCATCTAGTGGCTTCAACTGGAAAGGTTAAAAAAAAGCATTAAAATGCAACGACACTTACATCGTCATCGCATCTCGTGTCCGCTGATAAGCTGCCTGACGCACACCTAAACGTTTTTGCATTCGATTTATATTTTAAATTCGACGAATATTCGAAACTCACTTTTTTTTTTTGACAGCCCTAGTAGTTTTACATTATTACAGTTTCTGCAAATGTATCTAATATAATATAAATGCTTCTCCCGATTCTTATCAGCCGTTCGGTGTACAGCGCAGCAGAAACTGTGATTCACAAACACATTCCTTCACAACAATCACACTCGGCATCTTCTCACACTTCCTTTTCTAACTAAAGTTTTCCATCACTGCTGTGACAACTTCCTGTTTCCTCTTCAGAGAGCGAAAGAGAGTCTGCTAATATTTTAGACTGGAAATTACAGCTTTTCACCTCGGGATTGGAGCTGAAGGCATTTAGCAGACGATGATGAAGCAACACAAACATGATTCAGAGCTACAGGATGGAGTTAATGTTGGTTACTGTATACTGCACAGTATTTGTAAAATACACACCATTCAGAAGTTTGGGGTGGGTAAGATTTTTATGTTTCTGAAAGAAGTCTCTTTTGCTCACCAAGGCTGCTGCATTTATTTGATCAAAAATACAGTAAAAAATTGTGAAATATTATTACAATGTAAAAAACTGATTTTCTATTGTAATATGTTAAAATGTATGGAAGCCCATTTCTGCCACAGAATGAATGAATGAAATTGTGACAATTATCTCACAATTCAGACTTTTTGCAATTCTGAGAAAAAAGTCAGAATTGTGAGATATAAACTCAAGATTCTGAATTATTATTATTATTATTTTTATCAGAATTCTGAGTTGACATCTTGCAATAGTTTTTTTTCCTTCTTTCTGCCATGGAATAAAAATAAAACTGGTAATTGCAATATTTTATTTCACAAGACAGACTTTCTAGACAGAATTGTGCATTATAAACTCACAACTGCACGCAATTCTGACTTTACATCTTGCAAAATTATTAGTTTTTTTTCCTACCACGGAACGAAAAACATAAAACAGGTCATTTTTATCTCACAATTCTGACTTTTATTCTCAGAAAAGTTTATACCTCGCAATTCTGAGTTTTATATATCACAGAATTGAAAGAAAAAAAGTCAGAATTGTGATAAGAACCACAATAAAATAATTTTTTTATTCCATGACAGAAACCGGCTTCCATAAAAAAAAAAAATTATTTCTGTGATGCGCAGCTGTATTTTCAGCATCATTCCTCCAGTCTTCAGTGTCACATGATCTTCAGAAATCAGTATAATATGCTGATCTGCTGCTCAAGAAACATTTCTGATTATTATCAATGTTGAAAACAGTCGTGCTGCACAATATTTTTGTGGAAATATTTTTGTGTTTTATTTTTCAGGATTCACAGACGAATAGAAAGTTCAAAAGAACAGCATTTATTTGAAATAGAAATAATTTGTAACATTATAAATGTCTTTACTGTAGCTTTTGATCAAATTAATGTGTCCTTATTGAATGAAAGTGTTAGTGTGAGTGTGTGTGTGTGTTAGTGTGTGTGTGTGAGAGAGAGAGAGAGAGAGAGAGAGAGAGAGAGAGAGCGTGAGCGTGAGTGAGTGAGTATAAGAGATTGTGTGTGTGTGTGTGTGTGTGTGTGTGTGTGTGTGTGTGTGTG